TATCAGTGGGAAGGAGTGATCTCCAACTTCATAATGCCAGTGACAATGAATCTCAAATGTGGATGCTGAGTAGCCAGGTAATCCCAGGACTTTGGGAGGCTGAGGCAGGAAAATCCCAAGTTTGAGCTCAGCCTGGAGAATTTAAGGACTTAGGACCCTACCTTAAAATGAAAAGGGCTGTGAATGTAGTTCAGTTGAAAGACCCTGAGCTCAAGTCCCAGAATGAAAAAGAAAGAAAGAAAGGAAGGAAGGAAGGAAGGAAGGGAGAGAGAGAGAGAAAGGAAGAAAGAGAAAGAGAGGGAAAGAAAGAAAGAAAGAAAGAAAGAAAGAAAGAAAGAAAGAAAGAAAGAAAGAAGGAAAGAAAGAAAGAAAGAAAGAAAAAGAGAAAGAAAGAAAGAAAAAGAAAGGAAATCTAGAGAAGTTGTCTTAGTTACTTTGCTCGTTGCTGAGACAAAATACCCAACACCCAAAGTAAAAAGAAGCAAGGTTTATTTAGCTCACAGTGTGTGGAGGTTCAGTCCATAATCAGCTGGCTCCAAGGCAGGGTGGCACATGGCAGAGGGGCAACTGTTCATGGCAGCAGAAGACAGCAAAAGCAGCAAGGAGGGAGGGAGAAGGAGAGGGGGAGGGAGAGCGGGAGGGGGCAGGGGATGGAGAGGGAAGCCTCTCTTGTCTCTCACATTGTATGCAGGCTGCCTCCCCCAGGGTGGGTGCAGCGTTCACACCCTTAATCCCAGCATTGGACCATGGATCAATCACAAACACTAGAAGCCCGCCCCCCATGACAGCTTCAGGCTTTGAGGGGGTCATCCAGACATAAACCGTAACAGAGGTGAAACTCAGAGAGCACATGCTGTGTGATTCTGTGTGATTCACATTCTGTATGTTTCCACTTACACAAAATACAAAAACAGGCAAAGCAAACTTGTGCTGCAAAGGTAGGCATAGTGCTTGCTATCCCTAATGTCTAGGAGGAGACCCAGTATGGATCCTGGGCTGCTGGTCACGGGTTGTTTTTAGTTTGTTTGTTGTTTTTGTTTTTTCATCCAAGTGTTACAGTGTGCTCAATTTGTGAAAAGTCATCAAATGGAACACTTATCACGTGTGCATTTTTCTATTTGAATATTACATGCCAGTTTTCTTAAGCTCCAAATTAGCTCTTTTTTTTTTTTTTTTTTTT